TACACATACAAGCACATACGTACACATACGCACACATACATACACATGCATGCACATGTACATACACATACATGCATACATACATACATACATACATACATACATACATACATACATACATACGTACATACGTGCATACATACATACATACATACGTACGTACGTACGTACGTACGTACGTACGTACGTACGTACATACATATACATGTATATATATATATATGAATATGCATATACATATGTACAGTACAACTTTGCATATGCAAATCATTTTTCATACTCATATGCGGATACTATACATACATACGTACATACATACATACATACGTACACACAGACATACGTACATACATACATACATACATACATACATACAGACATACATACATACGCACAGACATACATGCATACTGACAGACAGACAGACAGCCACACAGACAGACAGGCATACATACACATACACATACACACATACACACATACATACATACATACATACATACATACAGACAGACAGACAGACAGACGGACGGACGGACAGACAGACAGACATACATGACACGCATACATACAAAGCTACATACCGACAAAAATACATGCAGACCTACATGCATAGAACCCTGTGGTTTGTTTGATGATTCATGCATGCGCTACACCCAATGTGATGTGCAGACGATGCTTGCTGTCTTGTTGACCCATCTTTTTGTCAATCCGTCTGTCCAGCTAGCTGTATGCACAAATGTAATTATGCAGGATACCGCACGGCCTCACTGTATGGCACATGGAGCAAGCAAAGACAGACATCATGGAGGTTGTAGCCTCTTTGTATCACTATGCCCTTCTTCTTTTTCTACAACACGCATGTTAGGTTCGTCCGGGCCAAGTTCTGCACGCTCTCTTTGGCGGCGTAGCGAGATCTGCACCTGTGCCAGGAAGGACATGCTTCCGGAGAAGACCAACTCCGCAATTAACGGACTAGGTGCCTTTCAGGTTTCGAGGTTGTTTTGATTTTTGAGCTTTTCTTTTTCAACAACGGTTTGACGGCCTAAATTCGGGGTGCGAAACCGGTGAAGACTGATGAGCAAGATGCATTATGCCGCAGAAGTTTCCGGGAATTGTACAAGCGCACAGATTTCCCCCTTTGTACTTATACTATACACATGCACACGCACGTGCACACGCACACACACACACACAAACCAGCACTGCCCTGACATCGTACAACGACCACACCTGTATTGCTCGACTACATTGCAAACATGACTGTTTTACAACGCAGCACACTTACAACTATTCGTCCTGGCTTTTGCATTGTAAACGCACCTTTTGCTTGTCCAACATATCGAACAAAACCAAAAACGAATCTAAACCCTAAACCTTCCATGGGGCCATAGCAAGATCCCATTTGGGAATCCTACAGGTAAGGCCTTCCTTACCAAAAAAATATAGCGGCCTGAAGAACTACTAATACCATGTTGGGGGTTTCTTATTATAATTATGGGTGAAATGGGCCCCAAACCCCCATTCTAATTATTAAGGCCCCCGTTCTAGAACCCCATCCTATCTCCCTTATAGAACCCTTTAAGGATTCCTTTAAAGGAACCCTATTCTAAGCATGAAGGCCCCCTATATCAGCTCTTTGTAGGAAGAGTGACTGTAGGGCTATCAGGGTGGAAGAGATCAGGGCTCGAAGTGTGTGGGTTTGGGGTTTAGGGGTTAGGGTTTAGGGTTTAAGGTCTAGGATTTAAGGCTTAGGACTTTGGGTTTAGGGTTTAGGGTTTAGGGCTTTTGGATCTAGGGTTTAGGGTTTAGGGCTTAAGGCAGGGTTTGGAGTTTAGGGCTTAGAGCTTAGAGCTCAGGGTTTAGGACTTAGGGCTTAGGGTTCAGGGTTTACGGTTTAGGGCTTGAAGCTTAAGGCTTAGGGTTTAGGGCTTCGGGCTTCGGGCTTAGGGTTTAGGGTTTGGGGCTTCGGGTTTAAGGCTTAGGGTTTAGGGCTTAGGGCTTAGGGTTTAGGGTTTAGGGCTTAGGACTTAGGGTTTAGGACTTTGGGCTTAGGGCTGCCACGGACCTTGCCTGCATCGGGTCCCTGGGATGCAAGCTCCTGGAGCGCACTCGGCGGGACCTCGACCTCAGAGCAGGTATACACTATAGGAGCCGAAATACTTACCACTACTCTTCTTGGGGGTTCCTCACTATACCTACAGTACCTAATTCCCTGAACCCTTAACCCTAAACCCTAAAATGTACCCCGAAACCCTGATCGAATTTTCAATCCATCGGGGTCGTTCCCGACTCTCCCGTCCCGCCCTTGCTCTTTTAAGCTCCTCGTTTAGATGGCATGAAAGCTGAAGGCCTCTCTCCTGTCCTGGCAAGGGCTCCAAAGAAACCTGAGAATTCTTGGAAGTCACACAAGTTCTGAGGGTATCCATGAGCTTAGAGACATTATCGTGCTCTGTTCTCGGCATCTATCAGAACTTTCTACTCTGAAACTCCCATATCTCGCCACCTTGAGGGGCCCTCCGTGGAGCTAGGGTCTAGAGCTTTTTCGGGGCTTTGGGTTGAGGGACACCCAAATGCCCTGAACCCAATTGCTATCTGCCTTTCTACCCTGAACCCTCATACCCTCCACACTTAACCCACGCCCTCACCCCTTCATCCCTTATATCCTAAACTCTAAACCCCAAGACCCGAAATACTTCAAGACCACCGAAAAGAGCCCTCAAGCTAACCCTGAGCGACGGTTTGAAAAAGCCATCGCGCCCTGCCCCACTGCCTTCGAGGGCCCCACCAGCTCCACGCCACGAAGGGCGGAGGGAAAGGGCCTGACAGACTGGCTTTCGGTTTGGAGCTTCAGGGTTTAGGGCCTCTAAGTTTCAGTCTTTAGGGCCTGCAAGTTTCAGGGCTTGGGAAGGGGCTAAACTCAAAACCCTAAACTTTGGGGGGGGGGGG